TTGGATTTTCTTGTAGATTATGGAGATTAGACCTTTGTCTGACTTGTACTGTCCAAAAATTTTTTCCCCGTCTGTAGGTTCTCTTTTTACTCTTTTGGTGAAGTCTTTTGAAGAGCATAGGTGTTTGAAAAATACATTGACATTCCTAAAGACATCGCATTAAATTAATGGATTTACATGGATAGTTTTGATATCTTGACAATGTTGTATTTTATTATCCAGAAATAGTGTCTGTCTGTCTCTGTCTTGCTTTCTGAATTTATAAAATTATTCTCTCTCTTAATTCCCTTTTCCTCAGGAAATCTAAAATTATGAAACTAAATAGATCCTGCATTTATTATTGTTTTTGTTGCTAGAGTAAAAGGGACTATAAATCTGGTATTTGCTGCATAAAGACACTTTTTGTCCAAGTGTATTTATTTGATAGCATTCTATTTAATGATCTACTGGTTATAATGGCCTCTCAAATCATGATGATTTTGTCATCTTTCCATTCAGTTTGTCTAGTTAATTAATAACAAATAGGCTTCTGATATTAAATACAGTATTTGTTTTTGTTTTTTTTCTCTTCTCCCCAGGCCTTGGGCTTGCCTTGAACTTGAATCCAGCTCTGACCATGATTGGCAAGTATTTCTACAAGAGACGACCATTGGCAAGTGGACTGGCCATGACAGGAAGCCCTGTGCTCCTTGCTACCCTGGCCCCCCTCAGTCAGACTCTCTTTGGTATCTTTGGCCTTAGAGGAAGCTTACTAATTCTTGGGGGCTTCCTTCTAAACTGCTGTGTAGCTGGATCCCTGATGCGACCAGTAGGGCCCAAGCCAACCAAGGAAAGGAAAGATAAGTCTAATGAATCCCTTCAGGAAGCTGGAAAATGTGATGCAAAAGAAGGTGTGGGTGAAGCAGCTGCAGATCCGAATGGTGGAAACCCCAAAGAGGAGAAACTATCAGTCTTCCAAACAATTAACAAATTTCTGGACTTATCCCTTTTCACTCATAGAGGTTTTTTGCTGTACCTTTCTGGTAATTTGCCAATGTGTTTTGCACTGGCTACACCTTTAGTCTTTCTTACTAATTATGCTAAGAGTCAGCATTTCGGTGGTGAGAATGCTGCCTTCCTTCTTTCCATTATGTCTTTTGTTGATATTATAGCCAGGCCTTTCATGGGACTTGTTGCCAACACAATGTGGGTAAGACCTCATATTCAGTATTTCTTTGCAGCTTCTATTGTTGCAAATGGAGTGTGTCATATGCTAGCACCTTTAGCCACCAGCTATATTGGTTTCTGTGTCTATGCGGGACTCCTCGGATTTGCATTTGGGTGGTTCAGCTCTGTATTGTTTGAAACACTGATGGACCTTGTTGGACCCCAGAGGTTCTCCAGCGCTGTGGGATTGGTGACCATTGTGGAATGCTGCCCTATCCTCCTGGGGCCACCACTCTTAGGTACAGTATGTCCCCCTACCTCTCTGGTTTCTGTTATCGTGTAACAGGTGTACAAGATTGGGAAGATGATAGAAAGCAGAGGTTAGTAAGCTGCTTGATGGCAGAGAACAAATCTTTCTCATTTCTGTACCCTCGGTGCTGGCCCAATGCTTGGTGCAGCATAACTGCATAACCGCTCAGATACTTACAGAATTGGATTCAGTTGAACCATCAAGTGAAAGGGGAATCAGATATTGTTATAAAATTTAGTTTTCTTTAAAACAATTTTTTTCTCTTCATAAAACTAATGTGCTTATTTGAAAAAAAGGCGGAAGATATGTGTTTAAAGTACTGGTGGTGATTTCATTTTAATCATAGAATTTATCTCAGCAGTAACATTTAAAATATTAACAACAGCTTATGTGAGGGCTCACAGGGTACCAGGGACTGTCCTAATTATATATCCTGTCATATCTCACAAGTTTATAAGTAGTACTGTTATTGTTTCCACTTTATAAATAAAGAAATAGAGGCTAAAAATGAAATTGCTTGCCCAAGGTCACACAGCTGGTAAGTGACCATAAAACTTGATGAGTTATTCCCTAAGAACATCAAATTCTTTACACTTTAAAATTATTATTTAATACAAAATACAACAATTTGGCCTTCCCTGTAGATGTGACTGGATGCTTTTGAGATTATGCATTATAAAGTAAGGCGGATACGTAAAAGATTATCTTCTACTGACTTTTTGGAACTTTCCATCCCTTCCTCTCTCCTCCACATACCCAGTGATTTGCCAAGTTCTCTCATTTTTACCTCCTAAATCTCTCTAAATAATCTACCCATTTCTTTCTACCACAGGAAGATGGAAAATGTGATGCTGCAACCTCCTATCTGGGCTGCTTCAGTAGCTTCCTAACTGATTTACCTGTATCCAGTCTAGGTGGCCTTCAATCTGTGTTCTACTCTGCAACCAAAATGATCTTTACAAATGCAAATCTGATATACCGGCTGATTAGAACTCTCTGTTGCCTCCTATTGCTCTTAGGGTGAGGATCAAATCCCTAATGTGGCCGGCAAGGCCCTGCATGGCCTGGCCCCACCTGCCTCTCCAGCCTCATGTCCTGCTACTCACCTTTTACCCTCTGTGCCCTAGCAGCCCTGCGGTTCTTCCTCTCCCTCGCACAGCATACCATGCTTCCTCCCACCGCTGCACCTTTGCCTTGCTGTTCTCTACCTGGTCCTCTTCCCTTCCTTTTCACCTTGTTAATGTCTCTCCCTCTTCAAGTCTCAGCTTAGTTGACACTTTAAGGGATACCTTACTGACCTCACTTACTAGTCACATCCCCTATTTCTGCTTTCAAAGTACCCTTTGTAGCACTTGTCACAGTTAGAGTTTTGGACTTGCGTGATTTTTTGATTAACATCTTTCTTCTCCACTGACCTGTGAGCTTCATAAAGGCCAGGGCTATTATCTTCTCTTTGTTCACTCATAAATCCTCAGGGCCTGGCACAGACGGTGCCTGGCATACGATAGGGATCATCAAATATTGTTGGATGAGTAGCGCATGACTGAAACCACATGGCTTCATATTTGAATTGGCCATATTAAGTCCTTTACTGGTATAGAGTGGTATTTTCCAAAGTATATCTCTCAGGAAACTTTCTGTGAAATGCTAAATTTAGTTTAACAAAAATTTGTCTCCAAATAAGTTTAGGAAGCGCTAAGTTGAATGGATTTCTTTACTACAGGACTTCTTGGGTCCTTTAATATGCTAATGTGCATTAAGAGAAAGAAATATGCAGTTTCTCAAACTGATTTTACTTTTGACATATGTTAGAAAAGAGTCCTGTAACATAATGGTTAAGAGTGCAGGCTCCAGAGTCAGACTTCCTAGGTTGAATCACTCACTAGGTCTGTGCCTCAGTTCTTGCATCTGCAAGATGGGGATAACAATAATAAAAGAACTTGTTTTTCAAAGTTTATTTTTTAGCATGGGACAGGTGTTCACAGGACTATTCTCTGGGAAACATGGATGTTGGGAAAGAGCCGTGGTTTGGGTGTCTGGAAACTTGAGTTATAAATAGCTGTGTGACCTTGAGCAATCTTCCTAAACTACTTTGAACATCAACCTGCCCTTTTTAAAAGAACCAAACTAAATGATCCCTAGGTTCTTTCCAACTCTAATATACCACAGTTCAATTATTGTTAAGTTTCTAGAAATAACAAAACATACAGAGTCATCCTAAATCAGTCTGACATTGTAAATTAAAGAGGTGATCCTTTTTAGCACTTCATTTTTAGCCTAATTTTTCATTTGGGAGACTCTGTAAAGACTGATGGGTTCTTGTTGGTAGGTGCCATCGAGTCAGTTTTTGACTCATAGAGACCCCGTGTGACATAGTAGAACTGCCCTATAGGGTTTTTTAGGCTGTATGATTTACAGGAGCAGATCATCAGGTATTTCTCCCATGGAGTGGCTGGTCGGTTTAAACCATGAACCTTTCGGTTAGCCGCTGAGTGCTTAACCGTTGTGCCCCCAGGGCTTCTTGATGGGTTCTTAGGAGACTAGAATTACTCCCTCTTTCTGAGTGAATCTTTAGGCTTTATTTGGAAACAGTATACCTTGATTTTTGAACCTACATAATAATTTCTTTTTTTTTTAATTGACTTTAGGTCGTCTCAATGACGTGTATGGAGACTACAAGTACACATACTGGGCATGTGGCGTAATCCTCATTTTCTCAGGTGTCTATCTCTTCATTGGCATGGGCATCAATTATCGACTAGTGGCAAAAGAACAGAAAGAGCAGAAGCAGAAAAATGAAGGTAAAGAGAAGGAACCAAAAGAAGTTACTAAAGCAGCAGAATCTCTAGAACAGAAAGGCAAAGTTGGAGGAGCCAAAGAGAAGGAGTATTCAGTCTGAAACCATGGATAAACAGAGGAGCTTTTGACCAAAGAGACCTGAAATAACTCTACTGACCCATGTTGTACTGGTGGTGCTTAATACAAACAGTGGACATTTGTGTAAAAATCATACCAGGTGTTGGTTGATGGAATTTTTATTTTCCTCCTTAACAGCAGTTTAAAAGAAATATGTCACATTCTTTGGGGGTGGGGGCTTACAAAAGATGAGGGAAGGAAGTAGCTTTTATTTGAAGCCAGATTTATCATACAGTAGGATTCCCTTTTTTAAGTGCACAGATCAATGAGTTTTGACAAAAAAAATCAAATAACTACTGCCCCAATACAGAACATCTCCAACAGCCAGAATACTTCCCTCCTGCCCCTTTGCAGTCGGTCCCCTTCCTCTACCCACAGCCCCTGGCAGCCGCTGATCTGATTTCTGTCTCCTATAGTTTGCCTTTTCCAGAATGGAATAAATGGCATCACACAGCATGTAGCCTTTTTGTCTGGCTTCTTTCATGTAGCAATATGTTTTATGATTCATCCATGTTGTATTTATCAATAGTCCATTCCTTTTTATTGCCGGGTAGTATTCCATTGTATGGATGTACCATAATTTGTGTATCCAGTCGCCATTGATGGACGTTTGGGTTGTTCTTTTAGACTGTTACGAATAATGCTGCTATAAACATTCATGTGCAAGTTTTTGAATGAATGTATATTTTCATTTCTCTTGGGTAAATGCTAGGAGTAGGACTGCTGAGTCATATGGCAAGCTTATGTTTATAAGAAACTACCAAATAGTTTTCTAAGTGGCTATACCGTTTGTAATCCCATCAGCAATATACGAAGTCTTCAGTTGCTCTGTATCCTAATCAGTGCTTGGTATTGTCAGTCTTTTTAACTTTACCATTCTAGTAGGTGTATAGTTTGTGGATTTAATTTGTATTCCCTGATGACTAATGATGTTGACCATCTTTTCATGTGCTTATTTTTCGTCTGTGTATTTTTAGTAAAGCTTTGTGTTTTAATCCCGATATTTAACAGTATCTTGACAATATTAAGTGCCTTGAGTTTTTGTCTTCCGAACTCTTTAGGTGCGTTTTCCTGTCTGACAGCGAAATGAACAATATATTTGAAAATCCTTAAACGTGTGGAAATGTATTTAAACAGATGATTATAAAATCTAATAGCATGGAAAGATCCTGATGTCATAAGCATGGTACAAAAGTAGAATGCAAACTAGTTAGATCAGTGTATAGAATATACTCTCAGGGGAAAAAGGGGAAGGAAGTATACAAAAAACTCCAACCATAATTGTGTTAGGATGGTGATTTTTTTTCTCTATATTGCAGTTTTCCTTAACATGATTGTTACCTTTTTACTAAAAACATTTAATGTAGCACATGCTAAGAGTTTACAGAGTGAAAATGAATAGATTTGAAATTGAAGAGTCCTTACAAGAGAAACTCGGCTCCTAAGAAAATAAAGCTGATGATGATCATGAGCAAGTTATTTGTTTCTGCTTCTTCAAGAATTGCACTCTGGTGAAAGGGAGGTGAGCATAAAATGAAACTCCAGAGCACAGTGGCCCCAAGTCATGATTTTGCTGGTGCTGGAACAATGCTGTGGAGTGTGGCAAGTCCACAGGCCACCTCCTTCCTGGAGACAGCATTCTTGGCGACAGCATTCCTGTGGTTACCCTCTGATTATCATTCACCTGCAAGTGAATGTTTAACTTAGGAAGCTATGAGTTGTTCTGGTTGTTCTTGAGCATTATCTTAACTGAGATCAGCATCAGACAAAAATACCCCGATGTCACAAAAAGACAGTGATGTTGGCCAAAGGAGCAGGTCTACTGTTCTACACACTGATTCAGCATGTATTACTGATGCCTACCCGATACCATTTCTAAGCACTGTTGTAGGCATTGGGGAATCAGCAAAGAGCAGAACAACTATGTTCCCATGGATCTTACATTCTAGTAGGGAAAGACAGACAATATACCATACATGCTAAGGAAAACATGTTTTCTGAATGCAGCAATATAAGATTGACTTTCATTCATTCATTCATCCAAACAGGTTTTTTTTTTTTTAATTTTTGGTGCATCTTCTATGTACCTGACTCTTTGCTGGGTAGAAGCGATATAAAAACCAAATCCGATGCCAAAGAATTGATTCTGACGCATAGCGACCATATAGGGCAGAGTAGAACTGTCCCATAGGATTTCCAAAGAGTGGCTGATGGATTTGAACTGCCAGGATCTTAAGCACTGCACCACCAGGGCTCCAGGAGGGATATAGCAATGAACAAAATGAAGTTCCTACACCTTAAGGAGCCCTGGTGGTGCCATGGTTAAATCCCTCTCAGCTGCTAGCTGAAAGGTTGGCAGTTCAAACTCACCAGTGGCTGGAAAAGACCTGGCAATCTGGTCCCATAAAGATTACAGCCTAGGAAACCCTATGGGGCAGTTCTACTCTGTCCTATAGGGTCACTATGAGTTGGAATTGACTTGACACACAAGAACAGCACTTGTGTAAGGGTAAATACAAAAAGAAGAAAAATATAATTTTTCCTGATGCAAAAAAGGGACACTCCGCCTTCACTTTTTCTCTGAGCAAGAAATTGCAATTGTAAAATTTTTCTTTTCCTCTTTTGAGAAATCCTCTTGAAAGACTAAGCTCGCGGGTTTTACAACCCAGGAATGTTTCCTCAAGGACTTAGGAGACATCTCTTTAAAATGTAATCAAAAGGAAGACAGCCCACCCTCTCAGTTTCTATGGGAGGGTAAGGGCCCAACTTTGGTGGGCTCCTGTGATAAAGATAATGAGAAGTGTATTTTTCCGTTGCATAAAGGCAATTAACAAACACTGGAGACTACCCGGTAACCAGGTGAATGTAAGATAATGTGTGATCGCCCAGTATACATTACATTCTGGTTTAATGTTTATTCAATAATAAAGCTCTTTTTGTTCTCTTACCTTTGTGGAAAGGTTTTCTGGGTTGGAAGCAGATTCTGTTTTAAATTTTATTTCCCCAACACCTGCAGCTTCTAGTCTAATGGGGAGGACTGTAGTAGGTGCTGTGATGGGGCTGCACATGAAAAGGCAGCTAACCCAACTTTGAGAGGGCCTGGAAAGGTCTAAAAGTCTATTCTTGAGCGAGGTAGTTAACTTCTCTGAGCCTCATTGATAAAATAAATGTAATTGTGAGAATGAAATGTGAAAGTACGCAGCATATTGTTTTGTTGCTGTCAGTTGCCATAGAGTCAATTCTGACTCACGGCGACCCCATGTGTGCAGACTAGAACTGCTCCATAGGGTTTTCAAGGCTGTGACCTTTCGGAAGCAGATGGCCAGGCCTGTCTTCCAGGTGGGTTAGAACTGAGAACTGCTAGCCTTTCAGCTAGGAGTTGAGTAATCTGCTTAACTGCACCACGCAGGGAAGCATATTATTTTAGAGTAGTTTTGATAATGAAATTTGAATCTACTTGAACATCCTGCCATGCATGAGAAAAAATGTCAGTAAGTTATTAACTAGAACAACAATGAATAAAGAACAGCTGGCAATATTTACACAGTTCTTCACAGTCTACAAAGTCTTTTTACATACAATCTATCATTGAATTCATACAAAATACCAGGGAGGTGGATATAATTAAAAAATGCTGACCTTTCTAAACACAATGCAGTGTGGTATCCTAAATTGGATTCTGGAACTGGAAAAGGACCTTAGTGGAAAAACTGGTCTGCAGTTTAGTAAATAGGATTGTACCAATGTTAATTTCTTAGTTTTGACAAGGGTACCTGGGTTATGTTAGAGGTTAACAGTAAGGGAAGCTGGGTGAAGGGTATGCAGGAACTCTCTGTACTATCTTTGTAACTTTTCTGTAAACCTAAAATTCCAAAGAGCCCAGGTGGCACAGTGAATTAACAGTGACCTCTTAGCGGCCTTCATCCTAGCTGGGCATCTCCCTCCTGTCAAAAGAGCACAGAGCAAGACTGCAGACATCTCAGCAGCTAGACTGAATGCTGTGATGGATGAAAGCTTTGGAAACAAACACAAGAATGGAAGTGGCAGAATCCTGAGTGATCCTGAAGGGTGAATAATGGCTAAACCAATTACCCAGGCCCTTGGCTAAAGCACTTGGCTGCTGAAAGGTTGGCAGTTCGAACCCACTAGCCACTCCTCAGGAGAAAGATGTGACAGTCTGCTTCTGTAAAGATCCCAACCAAACCCATTGCTGTCTAATCCCAACTCATAGCAACCCTATAGGACAGAGTAGAACTGCCCCATAGGATTTCCAAGGAGTGGCTACTGGGTTTGAACTAGCCAACCTTTTGGTTAGCAGCTGAGCTTTTAACCACTGCGCCACCAGGGCTCCCTTGTAAAGATTACAGCCTTGGAAACCCTACGGGGCAGTTCTACTCTGTCCTATAGGATCACTATGAGTCGGAATCAACTCGACGGCAACAGGTTTGGTTTTGGCACCAAAATGTTCCTGGTCCCAGAAGAATTCACAGTCGAATTGACAATCTTTTTCCTTGGTTTTGAAATTTATGTGATTTCTTCACTTGTGGATTTCCTTTCGAAGCATGCTTTGCTATTTCAAGAATAGAAAGATCTTGCATTTTTGCTGAGTGCACTCTGGGTCCCAGGAGGAGGCAACCGTTAAGAAGACAGAACTGGGCTGGGATTTAGTCACCTGGTGTGCCGATAATCTGTATATGTATAACAAAGAGAAGCTTCTCCCTGGGGTATTTTTCTCTTGTTCTGTTTTATTCTCTGGGCCCCTAACACCCACTTTGTTTTTTTTTAAGAGCCTGAGTTTTCTATCCTACTCATTCTGAATGTTTTTCACATTAGAAGCCAGACATAGAGATATTTAGTAATAACCATTGCCCCAGTCCTGCCTGTTGTTGCTTAGTCGATTCCAACTCATTGTGACCCCATGTGTCAGAGAACCATGTGTGTCATAGTACTGTGTTCCACAGGGTTTTCAATGGCTGATTTTTT